AGAGAGAGAGAGAGAGAGAGAGAGAGAGACAGAGAGAGAGAGAGAGCTTGGTTCAAATACTAACCAAAAAATTTGTGTTAACTATACTAACCAAGATCAACCAATCATATTCTAACTTTTCTTTATGTTCAAATGTAACTCATATATTAAATACAAGGGTAATTAAGTAATTTGACATTTATGTAACTCCCAAATAATTAATTGGGAGTTACAAATCTAAAAAATCTCACTATCATGAAGCATAACCTAAAATTTGTTGCGCATTACCATAAAATGATAGAATGTCAAAATGATTCGAACTTGCAACCTGTAGTAGTACCAGATGCAACATGACTACCAATAAAAAGTAACCGTTTTTGTTTACTTACAGGATCACACATCTATTTACATCGGATGCAGTTTTAAGACTCGTAAAAGATTTCCACTACGTCAAGAGCAGTAGCACAGGAACCGCTCAACCTTACTAAGTTCACCTTTGAAGACCTGGTGTTCTAGTAACTTGTCATGGACCACCAATAATGCTTTAAGTACAAGTCAAACTATAAACCTAGTCCCGATGTCAACTAGTGCTCACAAAATACAGATTCACCAAATAAGTATAATAATGTAACCGTGAGAACAATAATACATGGAAGACGATATATAAACCAACTTACAGTGAATGAGAGAAGATCGAACACCAAGATTTACATGAAAAACCTCAAATTAGAAAAAACCATAAATAGTGGAGCCGACACAATCCAATATACAAATGTTTTTACTATGTGCCGGTCTTTGTTCTTTTTCCCTTTTTACCCACACTCTTGCACAAGTTTTTGTCCTTTTTACTTTTTTACCCGCTTTTGCACAAACCACGGGAGTGAGGGTCTTCACGAAAACAACTGCTCGCTTTTTTAAAATAGATAACACGTCTACATAAATCATAACCCCCCCCCCCCTCTAATACGCTACTTTCGAGTGGGATTTGATGTTTACAATGGGCACTTGCATCCAATCGAAAACACCATGCTAAAACCAAACATATTGAACTAAAGGAACACACTATTACTTTGTATAATACACATTCTAACTTTGCATTTATGTTCGGATTGTCCCAAAAACAAAAGATTTACATGTACTGCTATTCATGCACAAGTTACAACTCAAACAAGCAAGATTTTTTTTGCTGTCCCCTTTGTCCAGAATCAACATATGGTTCAACAAATATTTCAGCAGCACCAGCATTTCAGACAACCCCAGTTCTCGGCTTCAACATTTTGCTTGGGCTATAAAGATGGGGGAGAAACAAATAATTTAATTCAATTGTTTTTAAGATAATTATAGATATATATATACACACACAACAACAAAAGAATGTGAAATTGGTAAATCTAAAAGTAGAAAAAGAACATTACAAGTATACCTTTGTCTAATCAGCGATCATCTTGCACAGATTTTCATAGCCCAACAATGATTGTTCTGCTCAGGGAAGGAAAGAAAATTTTGAGCTTTTTGTCCACACAGATTTAGTTTTGACTAGCAGCTTTTCGGTGCCGGCTTGATTTCCTGTCTCTTCAGCGCCTTATTGTTGGGATCTTTGTCTGGTTACTTGCAGTTATTTTGGGTGTTCTATCTATGGGGATGGGGAGTGTTGGAGGACTTGAAGCAGAAAGTAGAAGAGGTGGAGGAGGTGGTGGTGACCAATGCTCCAGAATGTCACGGTGGTATCCCTGGGGGGGAGGGGTTCACAGGCTCAGCATAATCCAGAAAGCATATATAGAAATGCAAGGAAATTCTATTGCAGAAGAGAACAGATCAGAATATAATTCAGTCTATTAGAGGAGGTAAATTTTGATTTTTGAGGTCAAGGTGACTTGATCTTTGACCTTCGAAATCAATATGATCACTCCAAAAGTCTTGGGAGCTTTTGGTAGCAGATTAAAGTTTCTAAGAAAGAATTCAAATAAAAAGAACCTTAAGAAATGCTTGAGTAAAGATGTGCCAAACTTTTTTGTGTTTATACAACAATTAGTTTGACCTCTAATGTCAAGAATGTATCTTTCTCAAGTAGCAAATGGACTAACAAGTACCCGTATAGCCGGCCAGTCTCAACTGAAGGTAACTGATAATTCAGTTTGATGTATATATATATATATACATATATATATCAGATTGTCTACTTCCACTATACCATGGAAACATTTCCTATTTCAGGGTATCCATACAATCTTCTAATTTCTAGACAATCTTCAGTTTCCAATTACCTTTTGCCCATTATGATCATCACAAAAGATTGATGTTATAGTCCATCACAATGTTTTCTTATTTTATGATCATTGAAGGTTTTATTTTAGGCATTTGACAACGTAAAAAATTTACCTAAGCAACTAAACTATTTGTAATCCAACGTTGCAATTTATTTAGAAAGCTAATAATTTAAAACACAATAACATATATAAAATAGAACACACTATTGACATATATATATATATATATATATATATATATATATATTACATTATAAGAAATAAAAAAGATACATAACCTAAAAAGAAATTTAATAACATATAGTATTAAACAACTAATAAATATAAGAGTATAATTGAAAATTTATATAAGTTAGGAATAACGAATATTCTTGAAATATTCTATTTTGTGTTAAAAATGGTGTAATAGGTTGGAGATGAATTATTGTTTACACCCAAATTTACACCATCTTGGTGCAAGAAATGGTGCAAACAATTGGAGATGGTCTAACAACTGTAAGTTCTTCATAAATCTGAGGTTTGTGGATGCAGCATTTACATTTGTCCCATTGGAATAGCATAATCCCAGAAACTTGAAAAGGGGATGGCATAGAAGAAAAAAGTAAATTGATACATTTAAGGATGTCAAGATAGCCCGTGTGATGGGCCTAGAAAAAGCTGAAGGTGAAGAAGAAATTTTATTACCTGAACTACAAAGTTTCGCCTTTCACAATCCCAGAACATATAGACAGTCCAATTCGTCTTAGACATAATCTTGTCCCTCACTGTAGAAAAACTAATCTGATCTCTTGAAGTAAAACGGTCAACTTCATTGAACCATAGACACGTAAAAAGGTTGGAGATAGGAATATGCTCCCGTATTACCACACATCCTTCAGGAACATCTGCATTATTCAACCGTATAATTACATTATCGTATCAAGAAATGTGAGCTCAGCTTTGACAATATAAAAGCAAGGTCCTACTTTATCGTTCTAAATCAATTAAAGAAGAATGTCTTACGTCCTGAAATTTAAATGAAAAAAAATAAGAACATATGCTCCCTATGTCTTCTGTCCCATGAACACTATGATGGCTAACTCGACACATGGTGTAGCAAAAGTTTCTAATGAATGGCCAAATGCCTTGAAAATATGACAAGGTCGGAGATCTTGTGGACATATAACAGTATCATCAATTCTTTGTACAGACAACAATGGGAAAAGAAGTAATTTTAAATTCAAAAATAATCCAAAAAATGAAATGTTACAACTTCATGAGACATCTCAAATGAAAATTGATGCAAGTTTTATGGTAGGGGATATGCATTCGAGACCAAGTCTTACCACTTGTAATGGGCAGCTTTGCTTCGGAATATGGGGTTAAGCCTTCCCTTCTATAGAAGTCAATTTGAAAGTCAATGGAGGCGTTGTCATACTTTGCAGCTGCCTTATTAGCATCAGCTTCTACAAACACATCAAATCGTCTATAATGCCTAGATATTGCAAAACTGGCATTCTTTCTCCATAAAAACCTGAAATTTACAGATTATAATAACATCATTGCACAAGCACAGTTTAGGATGAACCAGAAAGTTCGTGTTATACCACAGAGCAGGGGATGAACCAGAAAGTTCAATTTGTGTTGTCACTTGAGTAAACTAAAAACTAAATGTCTCATGTATCAAAATGAAATGATTGTATTTTGACCAAAATGAATGTAAGAACATACACAAATATTGAGCACAATTAATAGGATAAGAGATTTTTACAAGCAGAACATATTATTCGTCAATGGACAACTTTACTGTCCATATTTATGGTCATTTATTTCCAGATTTGTTTCCTTCATTTCATTGTTATTCTAATTAGCTTAGTATTTGACAAATAGTATAGGTAATGTTAGCAGATATGTAGTGCTTTCCTCCGATTGTATACTTTTGTACAGTCTATATAATAGGGAAGGAGAGAGTGAGATTGGAAGGGGAACGGTGAGGTGTTGATACAGCATCTTATGTTGGATCGAAATATAGAATTGCAAGATTGAATCAACCAAAGTTTGTTTATTTCTGAGAAAAATACACACTAGAAACTATACAAATCGATACAAATATATAGACACCGAAGAGGTGTCTTCGAACCATTGTGACTGTTCGAATGGTGGTGATCGAACCATTGTGATGGTTTGGATGTTGGTGGTTATCATCGCACCCTTTCAAGTTTCCTAAATTACAGAGTTTTACTTAAATAAAAATAATAAGAAACTAAAACACTAAACTTTGTTTCTTCTAATTAATGTCAAGATTAACTCAACATTCACCCCCTTAATCTCGATCATTCTGAAGAAGATCCTTAACTCCAAGTAATTGTCTCATGGTGACAAATCTTATTCTTGGTAGCGGCTTTGTAAGTATGTCGGCTCGTTGTTGTTGTCCACTGATATGTTCAACTACTATATCTTCCTTCTCGACACATTCTCGTATGAAGTGATACTTTGTATCAATGTGTTTTACTCCTTCCGTGAAACACTAGATTCTTCATTAGCGCTATTGCTGATTTATTGTCCACGTAAATTGTAACCTTTTCTTCCTTTGTATCGGTAATTTTACTGAGTAGTCTTTTTAACCAAAGTGCCTGTGTTGTTGCTGCTGTTGCTGCAATAAACTCTGATTCGCACGAGGATAATGCTACTGTTCCTTGCTTCTGAGTGCTCCAACTAATAGGTGAGTTTCTAAAATAGAAAATTATTCTTGTTGTGCCTTTTCCTTTTTGTGTGTTAACACCGTAACTGCTGTCACTGTAACCTTGTATCTTGTTTCCTCCTTCATGCCCATAAGTTATACCATAGTCTTTTGTTCCTTTGATATAACGCAATACTTGCTTGATTGCTTTCATATGCTATTCTTGTGGGTCTTGCATGAAACGACTAAGTATTCCAACTGAAAAACTTAGATCAGGTCTTGTATGTAGTATGTACCGTAAACATCCAATTAAGCTTCGATACTCGGTGGCGTGTACGGATCTTTCTTCGGTTACTTTTGTAAGCTTGAGACCTGGTTCCATAGGTATCTTTGCTTCATTGCAGTCTAACATCCCTGTGTCTCTGAGTATCTTGCTTGAGTAGCCAGTTTGCTTTATTGAGATTTCACCCCCATTCTGTGTAACCTCAATGCCAAGATAATAAGCAAGTAATCCAAGATCACTCATTTCGAACTTCTTTTTCAACTGATCCTTGAAAGTTTCAATCTCTCTCTTTGGTGTTCCAGTGACTATTAAGTCATCAACGTATATCCTAACCAATAGAGTTGATGCCTTATTTGTTCTTGTGTAGACTGCTTGCTCCAATGTACATTTCTTGAAACCAAGAATTTTCAATGTGTTATGTAACTTGGTGTACCATGCTCGTGGAGGTTGTCTTAGCCCATATAGTGCTTTCATGAGTCTGTAAACTTTTCTTTGTCTCTTTCTTCTATAAAACTATGAGACATAAACTTCTTCCTTCAATTCGCCTTGGAAATGCTGATTTTACATCTAGATGATGAACTTCCCATTTGTTGTATGCTGCCAGAGCCAATATCAATCGTATTGTCTCGATTCGTGCTACGGGTGCGAAGACTTCATCAAAATCTATGCCTCGTTCTTGAATATATCCTTTGGCTACTAATCGTGCTTTATGCTTTAATATCCTTCCTTCAGCATCCCTTTTTGTCTTGAACACCCATTTTAAACCAATTGCTTTATGATCTTTTGGTAGGGTAGTTAGCCTCCAAGTATTGTTCTTGTTGATAGAATCAATTTCTGCTTTCATAGCTTCAATCCACTTGTCATCTTTAGCCGCTTCCTTGAAGTTCCTTGGTTCGTCTTCTACTAGCAATAACTCATCCGTGTTGGCGTATATATCACTTAAGGCCCATTTTAAACCAATTGCTTTATGTTGGTATTTCTTCTTGAACTTCGAAAATTCGTTAGATTTCCCTTGTGTGTTTGTTCCACTAAGATTGTCCTCTCAACAATCTATTTGATGCCATCGATTATATATCTGAAGATATATATACGAAGAACACAAGAATCTACAAGAAATATTCTTAAATAAACTTGAATACAAGTTACATACACACACATGCATATTCAACAGCCTACATATACATATATATATAGATACCAAGCCACACCTACCAACCATTGTGATGGTTCAGTAGAATAACCACCAAATCGGTTATGAAACTGCCTTAAAGTGCTGATGTGTCACATGGCACAATTATTTAATTACACATAATACAAACTAGTAATATACTAATTAATAAAACGTTAAATGACATTTAAAACTAAGACTCCCCCCTAAATGTCGAAACGTTTTATTGATGCTTGTCCAGACTTCGAGCTTCATACAATGATGACAAAATCATCATCTTCTTCAGTGCTATCATCGGTGCCCTCTCGTCCATCTAAGTTGTATTCCACAATGCTAAGATCTTTTTCTTGACTTCCTTCAACACCTTGAGTCTTGCATGCCTTGGTTTGATCAGTTGCCTGAGTTCCTGCAGTGTTTAGATCTTCTTGATCCCTGCTTCTGGTTACACCACCAATTGAGCTTCCACTGCGACTCTGAATCCTGTTGGTTAAACCACCAACTTCTTGATCCTCTATGCTTGGCAACTTGCCAAACCTTTTTTGTGCAAAGTCAAAGTATTCTTGAGGGTGTAGCAAGTAGTCTTCAAACAATTTGTTGATGTTAGATTAATCTCGATATGTTTGTGTAAATAATATATATATTAGTAAATAGGTAGCTATTCATGAAGGCAGTTTTTCATGGAAGGACACAACCATAGCCAAACCATTGTGATGGTTCGATGGCACCCTTTCGGTGTCTATAAATTTGTATCAACGATGCACAGATCAAAGTGCGTATTCTCAGTAATTTCAGTAAGACTTTGGTTATTTGTTGTATATTCGATCAAACAGTGGTATCAGAGCCGAAGGAAGGATCGAAGAAGGAAGACGTTAAGGATCATTCAGAGGCTTCATAACACTCAAAGGAATCGTGGAAACTCGGAATTAACAAACTCTCCTCACGGTTGCAGCAGCAATGGCGAATCCAACCAGAAACGAGTCAGGAAACCAACGTGCTATCGTTGTATAAAGAAGGGCCATTTCGCTTGGGATTGTCCGGAAAAAGGAAAGCGATTGATTCAAAGGCACCGACACATGATCAGAAGGAAATCATTTCTAAGGTCGACGATCAAACTGATTACATGATCAGTCCATTAAAACCCTACAGGCAGACACACACAGAAAGGATCGTTATAAACGGCGACTACATGGTCGAGGGAACCGACACGGGATCGTGGAATTCCGTCTGGTACGTTAATTCGAAAATCTCTAAACATACGTCTCCCTCTAAAGAGATATTTGTTAACTTCAAGAAATGCTTCTACATCAACGATGAAGAACGTTTTCTTGACACACTCCACACACACGGTGTTGGGGAAATCGAACTAACAACGAACGAGAAAACATACGCTGTTCCCAATGTCTCGTTTGTGCCCGAAATCAATATAAATGTTTTGAGTATGAAGCAACTCATACTTCAAGGGTTTGAGGTTGATGTGAGTGATTTAAAATGTAAAATCACCCACATGTGTGATGATCGAAATAGCAAGGAGAAGGACCAACAGGAGCTTGTTGATAGAAACCACCAGGAGATGAAGACAGTACCTGATCAAGTTGAAATCAGGAAAGAGGACAAAGGAAAACTTGAAATCAATGGAAGTTTGGTACCCATACATATAAAGACTCTCGACGACTTTGTAACCTTCATGGTTTTGACAAATTGTGACCGGATTGCTTACAAGAATAAGAAATTGTTCGAGAGAAAATTTGAAGAAGCACTCGCTTGGTTTTATAAAATCAAGRACGAGGAWGAAATCACACTCCCGCCAAAGRTATCAGGTATGGAAGTCTGCTTATTTGACTTATACARGTTGATTGTTGGATYAGGAGGATTCRAAATCATAACAATTGAAGGAAGATGGAAAGATATCGCAATGAGCTTCGGATTCCCAGAATGCTACGGTAAAGATTTTAGTAAATTATTTGATGCATCCACAAGAGTACTATGTGTTTGCACAGAAAAGGTTTGAGATGGTGCCAAGCAAAGAGAACCAAAAGTTTGGTAGTTCAACCAACAGGGTTCAGAAACAATCGGGACGTATGATTGGTCATAGCGTTGGAACCTCAGATGGTAGAGTAACCAGGGCTTGCGGTCAGGAAGGCCAGAACGCTACGGCAGTTAAGCATTCAAACCGGAAACTACAAGGAACCAGATGTGGAAGAAAGTAAGGAGGAAGACCCTAGCATCAAAGGATATTATTTAGATGAACTTGAAGGCACTAGCGATGACACAAATGAAGGCGATGAGTTCGTGATTGTGGTATGAAGCTCGAATACTAGATGAGTTGGATGAAAGGTGTTCGACATTTAAGGGGGAGTGTTGGAATTAAATGTCAAACACATTTGTTGATTTATATTTTTAGAT